TTTTTTTTTTTTTTAATTTTTTGAGATGAAATCTCACTTTCTAATTTAGGCTGGTCCTGAATTCACTGTGTATTCCCGGCCGGCCTCAAACTCAGCAATCCTCCTGCCTCAGCCTCCTTAATGCAGTGATTACAGGCGTGTGCTATCACACTCAGCTATTTGAGTGAGGGACAATTATAAATAATAAATTCCATAAGGAACTTACATTTATAGTAGGAATGACAGAGCCTGATAAGTTCCACAAGATTGGTCCAAGAATTGTAGGATCCTCCCAAAGAGTTGATAAGGAAAGATTTCACAGAAGATGTATTTGATCTAAAGGGATCGGTAGAAGAATCGTCTCAAAAAAATAGATGAAGCTAGTCATGGTTGCACATGCCTGTAATCCCAGTACTCTAGGAGTCTGAGGGAGGAGGATCATAAACTCAAGCCTAGTCTGGGCAGTTTAGTGACTTAGACTGTGTCTCAAAAAAATAAAAACAAGCTGGAGATGTAGTTTAGTGTGAAGGTCCTGGATTTAATCTCCAGTAATGCAAAAAAAAAAAAAAAAAAAAAAGTGGATAAAAGCATTCTGTGCTGAGGGAGTGGCACAAGAGAAACAAGACTTAGGAAATACTAGATATATTCTGAAAATGCTACACAGGTCATTTCAACTAGAAAGTCAGGTTAGTAGTAGGTATGGAATGGAATATAAACTTTACCTCATTTAACTTCACCATAACACCACGATGTCAGTATTAGTATTATTGTTCCCTTTTTTTTTTTGGTTTTTGAGACAGGGTCTAGGTAGTTGAGAATGACTTGGAACTCACTATGTAGCCCAGGCTGGGCTTGAACTCACAGCAGTCCTCCTGCCTCAGCCTCCCGAGTGCTGGGATTACAGGCGTGCGCCACCATGCCCAGCCTATTTTTCCCATTTTTAATGAGGAAACTAAAGCATGAGGTTTCAAAACTTGTAGGTGGTTATCCAGCTAGTAAGGCGAAGAGCCCATCCTTCTAGCTCCAAAATCTGTGTGGTGCTGTGGGCTCCCCACCCTCACCCCCAGACTAAACCCAGGGCTTCTTCACATGCTGGGCAGGCATCTGAGCACTGAAGCACTGAGCTGAACCTTCAGTCCCCAGACTCAGGTAGTGTTCATAGTTACTACACCATCGTGTCTCTCCATTTTTGAAAGAAAATTCAGCACAGTACAAATTGGTAGCTAGAAATAGGAACAGAAGTCTCTGGTGATCAGTTGCTTTGATACCACTGACTGAAATGGGCAAGTCAAGAGGAGGAAATCTTCAGTTCAGGCTGTGTGTGTTGAAACCGTTTTTTAAAAGTGGTATCCAGCTCTTGTATGTGAGATACGCGTGCCTTTCATCATACCAGTTTGGTCTGGTTCTAGTATGCCCATAAATCTGATTTTAAGGGACTGTTTGCCTCTTAGTAGTGGATCGACTCTGATCAGCTGCTGTTTTGTTTTAGCATCTCTCTGCTGAGGAGTTGGCAAAAAGAAGAGAAGAGGAAAACAAACCCTCCAAATCTTCAAAAGTGTCAAGATCGGCAAAAAGGTAACAGTGCTGTGATACATGTAATTTTTAAAATTTATCATACATGATTAGAAAATGTATGGAAAATATCCAATAGCCGCATTATACCATTCACAGAAGATGGATCAGGTAAAACATTTTTTAATCTAACAAATTGAAAAGTAATTGCTTAGGTTTTGGAAATTTTTTTTCTACTCATGTCAGTTTTGAAACTTCAAGCTAAAGTTGTAGGGTTCAGGTTCAGTGAGCATGGGTCCAACATGTGTTTCACAAGGGTTTCTTTATATCTAGCAGTCCAGGCACTGTGGACAGATAATCTTGTGAAATACCTGGTTTTCTCCTTGGGCTGATTGTTGGCACGTTGTTTGGAGATATGGGTATGTGTACACATATATGTATAAACGTGTGTACACTACAATTTATAATTTTAAAAAAGAGTCATCAAATAAGTAAGATGCCTTGATTTTCTAGACCTCACTTCTTGCAGGTGCTCCGTTGAAGACTCGTTCTGTCAGTGTCCCTTTTAAAACAAGATACCCGTTTTACCAGTTGTGTGTTCTTAGATGAAACTTGGGCCCTTATTGTAAAGTAATAGCTCACATAGCTGACACTGTTGGCTATGTTTTAAGCCCTTCACATATATCAGCTCATTTGATCTTTGTAAGAACTCATTTTAGGGCTGGGGTTGTAGCTCAGTGATGCTGTGACTGCCTGGCAAGTGTAAGGTCCTGAGTTTGATTCCCAGTATGAGGAAAAAAAATTAAAAACAAAAAAACTCAGTGCAATAGTTAATACTGTACTCCCATTTTACAGATGAAAACTAAGAGACAAAAAAGGTTTAGTAACTTGCTGGTGCCAATTTAGTGGTGGAGCTATGATTTAAGCCCACATAGTTAAGGTTAGGAATTCATATTCCTTGTAATCCATTACATTAAAAATGGCCACTGTCAAATAAAAATGAAACTTAACACTGTCATTGTGAAAGTAGACTGTATAAAAATGCATTCCTCCATGAGCCAGAACTCGTCTAGTTATCTAGACATTTGACTTTTTGAATCTGTGTAAGATGTACATTCATTGTGAATTTCAGGTCTGTCCCAGACTGTTAGCAACATTTTAAATCTAGATCTGCTCTCTCTCCCTTTATCCTTCTGTCATTGCATCTTCAGCATTTCACCAAGCTTGCCTTTTTTTTTGCTGCTATCACCAAATAAAATGTTTAAGCAGATTAAATGTAAACATCAGACATTATTCAGTCAGATATCTACGTTTAACCTATATTTTTCATCTTATGCAGAAGTATAATCATAGCAGATGTCTTGCTTAAATTCAGGTAAAATATTTATATATACAGCCTGCTAACTTCTAGCAGATCGTTTCTATCAGAAATATCTGTGATAAGATCTGTCTGTGACTGACATGGCATGAACTCATTAATGTTCTTAGTTACCTCTTCACTTAGTAAAGACGCACCAATCAGCTGTTTAATGGTCTCCTAGAAATTTGCCAGTGTTCCAAGTCTAATTCCTCTGATATCTTCTTGCTTTTAGCTCAGTAGTTGCCTGTCCTTAGTCCTCTAATCACTCCCATTCTGTGCAGCCCTCAAGAGACAGCACTTCACAGCTGTCATTATTAAGTGCTCTGAAAGGTGCTTACTCCATTCTCTGTTTCTCTCACCTACCTCGGCCTTTCATTCCTTTCTATCGAGTTGGCTTAAAGACCTTTCTTCCTCCACAGTATATTTTGCGAGCACCTACTGTGTTTGGACACTGTTCCAGGCCCTTGGGATACATACATTATGAAGCAAAACAGTGTCTTCTTGGCACTGTCTTATCTTTTTCAGGAGCAGGGGAGTTGCATAGTCCTACTCTTCTCCAGTTGTGTTAGCAAGAATATATTCCTGTTTTTCTTTCTCTGACCATAACCCTAAAAATACTTTGTATTGTTAGTATCTTTCTCAAACATCTATAGTGGTCAAAACCTTTCTGATGTTTCTTTCAGATTGATAACATGCTTCTATTTCTAGCCTTGCTTACAGTCTTTCCTCTTTCTGCATTTAATATAAGAGTTTATTATGGGACTTTCTGTGTACTTGAATTTCTTCAGCAGAATTATTTGTTACTCATGTTTTGAGCTCTCTGCTGTGGGCACATTCTGCTGATGGGTGTGACTCCGCAGTGGGCTTCTTTCAGGTCCCTTGTCACAGATGCAGTTACAACTCATTGGACATTTTTCATCTTTACTTTGTGTGCTTCACATGTTGAAGGAAATTAAAGGACAGTTATTTTCTCCCACAGTTTCTGTTTTTGTCAAATCTAGAAACAGTTCTTCCTCCGAAAGGGCTGTATGGAATAGCCTAAGAATCTCTCCTATTTCAGTATTTTTCTCATTCAGATATAATTTGGGTTTAGATTACTGATACACATTTTCAGTTTTGTAAATGTTTTCCTGACCTTGTTGAGATTATATTAAAAGTGAATATTTTTTTTCATTTTCAGCTCTTTTGATCCCTTCCAACTGATACCTTGTAATACTTTCGGTGAAGAAAAACAGGTACTAGTTGTGTATCAGTGCCCATAAATAATGCCCATCAGATGGGAAGTACTTATTCTTTTTCTGTGTGCAAGGCCTGTGTAAATGAAAGGATTGGACAAAGCAAGGTGTATTTAGGGTCATATGAGTGGCACAGATGGAAAAGGAGAGGGAATTTCTCCCTACTGGGGTTTTGAAGGGTAATTTTTTAAAAGTCTAGTTTATACTGACTGAGCCATGGTCAGTGGAGGGAATTTGAATAGGAAAAGGGAAAGAGGGTGAGCATTCCATTGGGGAGAACAAAAATCTCTATTTTTATGCTCCCTCATTTTTTTTTTTTTTTTCCAGGAGCCATTTCAGGTGAAAGTGGCTTCAGAAGCACTTTTAATAATGGATTTGGTAAGGATAAACTTTTGTTTAATTAGTTATTTTTATTCTTGTATATTTTTATTGCAGGCATAAGAGAAAGTATGGAAGATGTGTATTTTGGATCTTAACTATCCTTTTTTACAAGGAGTCTAAAATTAAGTCTTTTCTTTTGAAGAAAAGCCAGACAGTTGCATATTTCCATATTTTAGAGAAGTAAATTAATGTGAGTCTTGCAGACTATTTGCTGTCCTTAACCCTATTTTCATTTCCTAATATTTCACGTCTGCTGCCTTTTAGATTACTGAGACAAAGCACAACTCCTGTAATTTTGGGGTTCCTTGTTTGCACTAAACTACCAGTACCTCTGACAGTTGTGGTTATTTAAAGTGTTCTTCTGTAGAATGACTCAGAAGGATTTTACTCTGCGTCCTTATTATATTTTTCTTGAATAAAGAGATCAATGTCCTTGTTTGGTAAATGAAAAAGTGGCATTTGGAGCATTTGGTTCAAGTTTCCCAGCCAGCAATGAGGATGGACTTGGAATCTGTGTCTCTGTGCACTAAGCTAGCAGTTTGTTCCCCTCCTGTGCTACTTTATTTTAGGAAAATGTAGTTAATCATATTCAGAAGTTACTCGTATGATGGCAGGTTTCATTCTGATTTTCTGTCCGATGGGTTTGTGCATTTGGCCTAAGTCTGTCTTGTATTTCTTTTAGCATGCTCATGTTTCCGTGGCAGAAGTAATTGGTCTGTTAGGAGGAAGATACTCAGAAGTTGATAAGATAGTGGAAGTAAGTTCTGTCTTCAAAAACTTCTACCATTTTTTAGTCCTCCCATCTCAACAATTTTATAGAATTCAGTGAATATAATGAAAATACAGGTGTTATCTAAGATAAGTGTTAGTATATGCAAATGTAGAAAGTTCCATATGCCAAGAAGTGACTCAACATCCATATATTAGGCACCTATTTTCCCATTAGAAAAAAGATAATACTGTCAGGCCTTGACTTCGCACCAGTAAAACACTATAGCTCCTAAGCGGCCAAAAATATGTGCTAATGCTTGTAGTTGAAAGTTCATATGTATCTTCTCATCATCATAAACAATAGGCATTATTGAAAAAGTACCTTTATGTAAGAATTATATGTGGTAACTTGAAAAATACCATTAATGGTGACCTCATTTGAGTAGCAAAATGCATGCTGAGTTCTTAACATACAGCCACACTTTCAGCATATACTACGTTTGGGAGTGGGACTGATAGAATGAACAGCATTTCAGTGTAATCATACAAGGATCATTCTTTATAGGTCTGTGCAGCAGAGCCATGTAATAGTCTCAGTACAGGGCTACAGTGTGAGATGGATCCTGTGTCGCAAACCCAGGCCTCGGAAACCTTGGCTGTCAGAGGGTACAGTGTGATTGGATGGTATCATTCTCATCCTGCATTTGACCCTAATCCTTCCTTACGAGATATTGACACACAGGCCAAATACCAGGTATGGTTATGGATACGTGGGTATTGTGTGCGCTTTTTTTTTTTTTTTTTTTTTTT